GCTCAGATAGCTGACTTAGTATGTATGTGTGCATATATATATATATATATATATATATATTAAACACCCTCAGTAGGATTATTGACCCCCAACTCAGTAGGTCTTTACAGGGGTGACAGTCTCATTGTTATTCCTAATAGTAATAGTTCTCTAACTTCCAAATCACAAAGAAAGATTATAAAAGCTTTCCAATTTCTGGGATTCAAGATTGATATATCCTCTAATCTTATCATTATCAAGTATCAAAATCTTTAATAAAAATAAATTCACCTATAATCAAGCCCTCAAGGAAAGTATGTTTACACAAGAATTAAATTATCAAGAAAATTTGAGAAATAATGCATCTAATAAATTTACAAACAGGAAAAGGGAGATCATATGGTTCAACCCCACTTTCTGCAAGTTGTACATATTATTTAAGTATATATTTGTCAGTATGCACATATATATGTATGTATATGGGTAGGTGTGTGTGTGTGTGTATTTATGTGTTGTGTGTATGTATATATATATGTGTGTGTGTGTGCATGTATATATGTGGTTATGTATGTATATGTATGTACTTATATGTTTATGGATGTGTGTGTGTGTGTGTGTGTGTGTGTGTGTGTGTGTATGTGTATGTATATTTATATAGTTGTATGCATGTTTTTATGTATGTATGTATGTATATGTGTGTGTGTCTGTATGTATATACTTGTATCCAAGAAGAGTCGCATGGTGTGTAGTTTGGAAGATGGAAAAAAAATTGTAGCTGATGGAAGCTACACAAGTCGATACCTGATCAGTATCAGCTGGTTCACCATGGAGAGAGGGTATGATGTTGAAAGACCCGAAATCCCTAATGAAACTTGACTAGAAACATCACTGATGATGTGTACCAAAGCATCCAATAGATGTATTTTATGAAATCGAAAATGTGTGTGTGTATATATATATATATATATATATATATATATAAAATGAAATAATGATACTTAGAATCAATCAGCAATATTAATGCGATTAATGGCGAAATCACTTCGCTAGTAGAATATAATGTATGCATTGAAATACTGTTAATCCACTGAATGATGTGATCCACATTTATAAAACTGTTGTGAGATGTTTCTAGTGTATATTTTTTTTAAAGTTAAGCAAGTACTTTCGAAGATCCATGTCTCCATCGTCAGGCTGTAATTTTTTTTTCCTTTAAAAATAGAACTTGAAGACGAAATAATTGTTTGTATACAGAAAGATGATTTTTTTAAGAATGTGCTATTTATTGACGGTTGTACAATCTCGGAATGTGCGAGTCGCAACGCTAAAGTTCAAAATTTCAAGTGAGAATTTTGTAATATGGTAAATCCACGAATTCTTTTTTTACAAGTGTTTTTCAGTTAACATGACATGGACTAAGTATATCGTTCAATTAATATAGTGATATGTCTTAATAGATTTTTTTCTCCGGAATTTCATACTGCAGGATCAATTGTTTATTCATAAACATATAATATTAGGTAGCATATATTTTATAAAGAAATAATCATTCATAGAATCAATCAGCAATTAAAAAAAATTACAGCCTGATAATGGAGACAGGGTCTTCGAAAGTACTTGCTTAACTTAAAAAAATATACACTAGAAACATCTGACAACAGTTTTATAAATGAGGATCACATCATTCAGTGGATTAACAGTATCTTAATGCATACATTATGTTCTACTCGCGAAGTGATTTCGCCATTAATCGCATTAATATTGCTGATTGATTCTATGTATGATTATTTCTTAAAATATATATATAAAATATATACTGCCTATTATATTATATATATATATATATGGGTTTATAGTATGTATTTATGTGCGTATGGGTATTTGTTTATATATAATTATGTATATGTATCGATAGATATGTATGAATGTGCTTGTACATGTATGTTTATATATGTATTTATGGATTTTTATGTTGTTTGTGTAATTAGAGATATTCTATTTTTGTTGTGGTGTTATCGTCCTATTTATGCTTAGAAATTGAAGATATATATAATTTTTCTGATTATATGTACGGTACTTATGTGTGTGTGTGTGTGTGTGCGTTTATATGTCTATAGATGTATGTTGATGGTTTGGTTTATGTAGGTATATAATTGCATATATTTCTTTGTAACTTAGATAATTTTTTTCTTTTACCCTTATTATTACTATTATTATTATTATGTGTATTTTTATTCACTTCAAATAATATCCTTTTTATTTATTATTATTATAATCTTTAAAGAAAGATCTTTTTGAAAGTAATATATTTTCAAAAAAATCATTATATCATTTTTCTCAAATATTATTGTATTATTCTTAAAAAATATAAAGGTGTAAGGGCGTGAATGACTACACGCATTACACAGATAATTTATTCAATTTTATACAAAGATGATTGCTGGTTTCAAGCCACATCTCTAGTTTTCCTTTCTTTCTCTTTTTTCTTCCTTCTTTTTCTTTCGCTCTGTTTGTCTCTTTCCTCTACCCCCATTTGATGACACAGTCTCTACTTCATTGTGTACATCTGGTATAAATAGGTCAACATGTCTGCTCTCATCCTTACGATTTCACACATATGTCCTTAAACAGACATATTTCTTTCTCCCTCTCTTCGCTTTCCCTTCCCAGCCTTAAATGCAAATCTCACTTCTTCTCCTCCATCTATTCCCTTCCTCCATTTTGAATACATATACTTTTTTCTTGTTTTTTTTTTTTTATAAATATTTTTGTGCCTGGTAAAATTTTTATCCATTTATTTTTGTGAAAACGTTTGGTCTGATAAGTTAAAAGCATACAATCGGTTTTAATGAAATAAAATATTACCATGATCTTTTAAAGTCTCTGTTTTTATAATTATTATTTGATCTGTTATTACATTGAGCTCTCTCTGGATCTATGTCCTCTTTGTAATACGGATTACCAAATATATCATTTTATATATATATATATATATATATATATATATATATTACAGTGAAACTATATCTGTGGATGACAATATATATGTTCCTGAAAAATTTATTTTGGTTGAGCTCTCTAGGGAGGAAGTGTGTGCTTGTAAACAGTGACTATTACGGCTAATATTGCAAGCCTCTTCAGTAAAGTGAATCGAGATCTCTCAGTCACTGTGTGTTTATCTAAAAATAAATATGCTTAAATTCACCTTTATCCTTGGTGTGTGCCAAAAGCTTAGGAGTAGAATCTCCAACTGACGCCAATTCAGCTGGGTTTCAATCCTAGCTAGAGGCAAACGAACGTCTAGCCACACTGGTGAGCTGTGATACAGTAAAACAGTCTGTCTGTGAATGACTATATATATATATATATATATATACACACACACAAGGAAAAAATAACAAAGTGGAAAAGTTTTTACTGTGTGACAAGTTTTATCCTTTAGGGCTTCAATAGACTGAAGTGATGTTTATGTTTATATATATATATATATATATATATATATATATATATATATATATATATATATATATATATATATATATGCAAAATGGAAGGGATGCTGATATCTTAAAATTTTACATTTAAATTTTTATCTGTGTTTGGGTATATAATCTAGTTAATTTCATTTGGTTTCTTTTTCTCTTTGTTTATGGTTTTATTACTTTTGTTATTAAGTATCCCACATTGTGATAATAGAAGATCTGCCAAGAAAGGTGAAATGTTGAGCTGATGAGAAATTTTCTTGCATCAAGCCCTTTTTCATTTGAAATGCATTAAAAAATTATTTGTAATTTTCTGCAGCTAATTGTGACTTGCCATCAGGGAAGCAGCAAAATATTGATTTCTGCATTCAGATGATTGGAAGTGCATCAAAGAAAATGCATAAATAAGCAGGCATCACATGTGCGTTCCCAACAGTACATCCACAGGAAGCTTTTAAGGAATTTTAATATAAAAATTTCTGAAATTATTGTTACTAATTATTATGCTTGATGTCTATATCAGCTACTATATGACTCATAGTTACGTTGATGTATCGGAAATTTTATTCTGATCTCTTATGTATTATAAAATCTTTAATTTTGCATTGATATATTTTTGACTGACTCAACCAACGATTTTTGCAAACAAGACTTTTTTAACGAACATGACAACTAAATGTACACTTTCATAGATTCCCATCAAGTTTTCTTTTTAACAACCAAATACTATCAATGCTATTATAACAGTACAGTTTATACCATCAAAACATTGACAAAAAATTATATTAAGCAATAATAATTAATTTAGAAATAGATGTTACTTTTTAAATAATTTGAACTCATTAGAATTTACACACTTATTCAAGAATTGGAAAAATTTAATTATCTAATCACAAAAAGTTAAGTTTTTGAAAAAAAAACGTTTTGCAGCATCATTGAAAAATATTTTAAAAAATGATAACTCAACAATTTTTACTAATACAGAAACAATCACCCAAGCATCAAATTGATCCTTTGGAAAGAACAGACAATCAGTTTGGTAATAATATATAAATCTTAGTTGTATTTTTGTTTTTATTCAAAATTATCTTCAGCGCTTTTCTTTCATATTAAATTTTTACTTTTTAGCAGACTAGCTGTCTGCCATTGCTATTAACACTAGCTACTAGAATATAACTTTCTGCTTCTTCACTAGCATTTCGACTGCATGTTCTTACTGGTTCTATAAAAAAATGTTTATTTTTAAAAACTCTAAGCAAACTCAGAATTTGGGTTTATCTTCAATTTTATCCACTTAATTACATTTCAACAGTAATATTTTGTAACTGATAATCAATTCTCCATTGATTACACTGTTATAAATAGAATTTGACTTCTTATGTGAATTTTTATAGGATAAAAACTTTTTTTTTTCATATTACTGATACTTTCTTTTAAATCAATAATACATTTGTTATTACAAATTATGAAAAAGGAATATGGACAAATTGAAAATATTTAAAACAAACTTGAAAAAATGGCTAAATATATAATTCTTACATCATATTTGCGATTAGTTCCTTTATTTAGCAGCAGATTCTTCTGTCGGATTTGTAAGTTTCCAAAGATTTGTAATTTCGCTCCAGCAACAGCAAAAGAATGCTGAATATAAGCCATGCAGTCCATGAAGAGTGAGCTGAATTTCTATCAACAATAAAAGTAAGAAAAAAAAACAAAAAAGAACAACAAAGATGATGACTGTGTAATATATATATAACAAAGTGGAAAAGTTTTCGTCCTTCAGGACTTCAGACTAAATTTGTTATGTTGGTACAACTACATATGCGCATAAACGAGAGGTGCTGGGGATTTTAGTTTTTTTTTTTTTTATCTAGCCAAATTTATTTAGGGTCTTTTTCTTTCCATCACTTCTGTTAGTAGGTATCCCAGCAATGGTGAAATGTAAGAGCCAGGGCGTAAATTTACTGTAGATGAAATTGTGATGAAGCCACTCTTTAGACATTTAAATCACAAGGAATTTTATAAATAATTCACTATGATGTAAATGTCTAGAAAGTGCCTTGATCACAAGGTCAACCACTTTGTCATACAATTTCCCAAATACTGTTCTTGATATATAACAATATATGTCATTATCTCATACATATATATATATATATATATATATATATATATATATATATATATATATATATATATATATATATATATATATTATTAAAAGAACAGTAAGATTTATAATCCACTGTTCTTATTATTTTTATTTTTAAAAAACAGTGCTCAATACAATTCTGTAGAGCATAAACATTATAAATTTACTAATTTAAAAATATGGCCCAATCACTACACTAACCCTACCATGTTTCAAAAACAGAAACTAAAACTTTAAATTTAATTATAGAATTAAATTAAAATCCCTAGTACTGTTTCATTTTCAAGCGATTTTTGGAATAACTTACTATAAATTACTATGTTCATAGAAAATTTTCTCATTAGCAGAATTTGTACTTATTCCCTTTTCAATAGATAAAGTTATATGTTTAATTATAGATGGAGGATGATTAGATTTAGGGTGTATATACAGAGGATTAGTATTGGGTTTTTTATAAGGTATGTATATATTATTCATTAAATATAATGTTATATCAAGGAAGTTCACCTTTTTCAATTTAGTACTTACAGTAATTTTCAAGTTCAGGCATTAGAATTCCCAGTTTTGAAAAATTGATAAAATTATTGTGTTCTAATTTTATCAATTTTTCAAAAATGTCCTCTTAATAATAAATGTCACACTGAATCATTAGTGTACCAATGCAATATCTCATCTATTGAGTATCTAGACAAAGTTAAAGTCCACATTGCATGCACAAGACATGAATTCAAAAAGGTTTGGAACCAACATCAAAGTTCTTTTAAAATAAGTAAATACTGAAATCAGACATTACTATCTAAATATTTCTGGCACTTAAAGGAATCCAATAAAACACCTACTGTAAAATGGAAATTAATAAGAAAAGATAGAGTTTGCAGGTCATTAAATGACCCATGTCCTTTGTGCATACATGAGAAATTATACATTATTAAGTTTATGAAAAATAAAAATTTACTTAAAGAAACGAAATAGCTATTTTTTGCAGACACTGTCAAAGATTTTCCTTAAATAATGATTAAATGTGAAAAAAAAAATAAATAAAAAAGAAGAAAAAAGATGGGAAATGAAACATATTTATTCTTGATCTTTAAATAATAATTTTTAAATAAAAAGTAATTCTATTTGTTTAAGAAAAACATATAGTCTATTAGTAATTAGAATTAGGAATAATGATTTAAAATTCTAGGAATAGATTTTAAATATTAAAAATATGATGCACTCATATTCAAACGACCCTTTTGAAAAAAAAATCTTTGTGTATAAAATTATAAATTAAACGATAAAATAAAAATGCCAAAAAACTTTTCATCATGGAAAAAACTCCGACATCATGCGAAAAACAAATGTTATTATTTGTTGAACAGGAACCCCTACCCTACCTTAACTTAACCTGATTTTGAAAGTAACTCATATTTTGATACACAGGTTGTCTATGAAAATGAATACCCTACCACCCCTTATTAAAATGATTGAATGTCCCATAACCTTAGCAACTAATATCAAGAATGCATATGCTTATAAACTCAGTAAATTTCAAAATAAGTTATTCCAAAAATCACTTTTGGCCTTGTGCCACATTTTGTACATTAGTACAAATAAATAGCTATTCCAAAAATCACTTGAAAATGAAACAGCACTAGAGATTTTAATTTAATTCTATAATCAAATTTAAAGTTTTAGTTTCTGTTTTTAAAATATGGTAATTCCTGTGTAGCAATGGGACCATATTTTTAAATTAGTAAACTTATTTCTTTGATTATGAGATTATATATATATATATATATATATATATATGAACAATTGAATGGATTTTTTATTTAATCCGACAAATTTTTATTTCTTAAATGTTATTTTTAGTAGATACTTGTATTTGAGCAGATGCTCAGTTCATTTATTAAACAGTATAAATATTTTCGTCAACCAGCATGAATATTCAAGAAATCTTATTAGAGAGAAGTATGCACTCTCTGGCATGGCAGGCTCCGAAATCAGATTAACAAATAAAAAATCTATTTCTTTTCTTACAAATTGCTGCTTTTATGTTAGGATACAAAACTGAGTAGATATGTCTATTTCAAGAGACAGAGAAAAATCTGTGTTTAAAGGCACCATTCAACTTTGCTTGATCATTAATGCATTATGTAGCTGAGAGGTTAAAGTACATTAGATCTAATGACAGTTTCCACAAGGGGAATGTAAGTTTGAATCCTGCTAGAGAGCACATAATTTTCTCTAATAAGATTCCTTGAATATTCAAGTTGGTAGATGAAAATAAATAAATAAATGGAACATCTACTCAAATACGAGTATCCACTAAAAATAACACACACACACACACATATATATATATAAAAGAAACAATATTCAAAAAAAATTTTACTGCAAAAAAAAAAAAAAAAAAACAATAATAAATGTTTGTGCTGAGACTGTAATTGAAGTCATAAAGAAAAATTATAATAAACAATTTTACAAAAGTAACAGAACACTATATTTGTAATTACACATATAATATTTGCGTAAACAAAATAGCAATCTCACAATTTGTTTATGGATACTTGAAATTTCTTTGGTACTGCTAACAATCTTTTAATTTTAATTCCATGCACTACTTCTGCGATGACAAAGTAACTTACCTGTAAATACAGGTCCTAATTCAGATATAAATAAAAGTGAATTTATAAATAAATTAACTTTTGTTCTGAAAAATTGTTTGGTCATAGTAGTATTGGGAGATGAATGAGATCTAACTTGTTCCTTTGAACTGGCATTCCAATTTTGTTTAGCCTCAATAATTTACAGACATTGCAGCATATAATGATAAAAAATAAAAGAATTCTGATCAAAAGATAATTTAAAAGTAGCAAGAGATGGGAAAATACAATAAATTTGCTTAATAGGACTGGCTACTAGCTGTCTACTTAATAAATAACAAAAGATATTTTTGAAAATAGACATTTTTAAAATCAATTTCAGTAACATTTTCTAAAATAGACTATAACTTGTATTTTTAAGAGCATTTCAACAGCCTTTATTCATGTTGGCTTGTGGATGGAAAGCAGCAATTCATTAAAAGGACTAATTTTAAATATGAAATAAAACTAAATCAGTGAGAGGCAGGATAAGAACATTGGTGCCTACAGATAATTCCATTGATTATATAATTTCTAACATATAGCATAAACTTATATTCTCCAATATTCTAAATAAGTTGATTTTAAATAATACTCTTTCATGTAAAATATCTATATGTGTGTGCATGTGTGTAACTCATATAGGTGGAGGCTCAAGGAGGAAAAAAAAAGTGGGAAGGAGGAAAAGAAATATTTTTTTTTCTTTTTCTTTGGCAGATGATTGACATAAATGAAAAATGGGATGTGTAAGCAGAATGTGAAACTTGAGCGCGTGTGTGTGTGTGTGTATGTCTCAGTGAGGGGAATCAAATTGGTACTTATCATTTCAAGCTAAGCATGCCACCATATTCCTGATCAGTTAGAAATTGTGGCTGCATTTGCTTCCATTTTATAGAAGAGCATACATTGCTGGTGAACCGAAAGTCATCCGGGATTGGACAATAAATTGCCAAGAAGAGTTGCATGGTTTGTAGTTTGGAAGATGGAAAAAAAAATTGTACCTGACGGAAGGTACACAAGTCGATACCTGATCAGTATCGGCTGGTTCACCATGGAGAGAGGGTATGATGTTGAAAGACCCAAAATCCCTAATGAAACTTGACTAGAAACATCACTGATGATGTGTACCAAAGCATCCAATAGATGTATTTTACAAAATATATTTATAATTTTAAGTAAGAAGCTTTCGGAATAAGTTTTTGCTAATTTCTACAAAAATCATTGTTTTTTATTTTTTTGGCTAATTGATAAACAAACAGATCATATATTTTGAGAGGTGTTAGAATTACAGAAAATAATAAATTAAAACTGTATATTTACCTGTAATTTGTAAGTAAAGAAAAGTAACATTTCTACGCCGACAACCTGTTCTGAATCAAAGAGGGGTATTTCTAAATTCAGCTGAAGACCGTCACTTAAACCATTTCCAGTAATGTCTTCTTCAAAAGCCTGGAATAAGAAAGGAAAAATCTTTTACACTATGTTTTACATTTTTCAATCTTCATTTAAAAACTTAGGAAACTGACAAAAAATAATCTGCCAAATTCAACAAAGTACAAACAAAACATTTCTTTTAAAAACATAGTAGAAACTTCTGACAGATAAATTAATAATTGTTAGAAGAATTCAAATCAATGAACTAGAAAACTCACGACCATACATTGTCAAAAACATTAGACAGATTCTATGTGAAAAGACAGTACAGAGGATTCATCAGTATCATAGACTATGTTAAAATGAACTTGAAAAAAATACATAAAAATTGGAATTAAAATATTATTAAAAAAAATGTACAAAACTGAGCAACAAAAAGTATAAAAAGGCAAGCTAAATGCTGCCTTTGAAAAAAAAAAGAAAAAAGAAAAAGAGATGAAATAGTATACAAAAATAGTCAATGAATCTAGCAATCTAACTCCTAAAGAATACAGAAATAGGCACAACAGAGTAGTGATAATTAGACACTTGGAATGGTGCAAATGTCTTGGGCTCAACCATGTAGACAAATGGTATCAGTGCAAACCAGAGATTGCAACACTGAGAGAAAAAAAAAATAAAAAAGGATCACATCTAATAATTGTGAAGAAAAAAAAAAGTAAAAAAAAAAAACAACCAGATTTTGGATGCGATTGTGTCAGTGGACCACAGAGTGAACATGAAGGAGAGTGAGAAGTTGAGACATTATCAGGACACTGCTTGGGAACGGAGAAAGATATGGAATATGAAGATTAAAGTCAAGCCTATAACAGCAAGCATACTTGGTTTAGTTTGTTTTGTTTTATGGCATAACAACTTCAATGGGTTAATTAATGGTGATAAAAGTTTTACAATAAATTTGTGTGGATAGAATATATATTCTTTGTAAGGAAACTGTTTGTAGATCCGGTTTTATTGATATACTTTTGAAAAGAGGGTTGTTGTCAAGAGTCTTCTTTCATTGATGTATTCTTTTCAGATACATGGTTTGTAGAGAAATTGATTTTGACATTCTCATTTTGTTTAATTTTTGGTAGAGTTCTACTGTTTTGAGAAATGATATATCATTCACTTTTACTTCCTCGAACATTTTATACATATTGTTTATATTATAGTATTTTTGTCTTGAGAGCAAGATCTGAGCACTTGGTTAATATATGTTTAATAGTATATGCTGATTTACATGATTGGCATACCTTGTTTAGTAAGTATGAGTGGGTTATTCTCATATGGCCAATGTGTACGCGAACCAATACCACTTCTCCCTTACAAGATTTTCTGGGAGAGACTTCTATTCTTCTAGTTTGGGCTGGATTGTGAAGATTTTATTGTGTGGGTTATCATTCCTGTACCATTGCCATTCCTTTTGAATGTATTAATAAAAATTGGGTATGGGATTTTGGTCCTTGTATCCACATTCACATCTAAAGCTGACTTGGCTGCTTGATCTGCTTCATTATTATCTTTAGCTCTGATGTGGCTTGGAATCCAGCATAGTTTGATGTCTTTATGCTTGCTAATAGTGCTCCTTTTGCATAATATTTTCATAAGTGGGCTGTTAGAATTTTTTTCCTTCAAAGCCAATAGGATGGATAGTGAGTGCAAAAAATTAGAAAATTTTTTTGTTTGCTATCTGAGATAATGTTGAGAGCTAGCTTGACTGCATGACTCTGCAGTGAAAATAGAGCTTCCTTTTGGGAGACAGCATTTTTTGGTAATATTTTGGCTCACTGCTGCACATCCTATTTTGTTCTCATATTTTGAACAGTCTGTAAGGATGGATGGATGTATGATTAGGGAAGTTTGCCAATATGTCCTGAAACTTATCCTGGAATGTGAGTGGGTGCATTTTTTGTTTGGAGAGATTATGTAATTCTAGCAGAACTTCGGGTTGCTTGCTATGGTGGAATACTGGTTGCATTGTTTCTTGTATAGTGTGGTGCCTAACTCTTCAGTGATGGATTTCATCCTGAGTCCATAGTGTTGTATAGCATTATCGTTTTGTCGGAATAGATTACAGTAATTAGGTTCAAAGAGACTATTGTATCTGGGTCAGTTAAAATGTATTGCTGGTATTAAAACCTATTTTTACACTTTCATAGTATTTTGACCCCAATTTGGGGGTCAACTATTTGCCCATAGCTGGGACCCTAACAGGTGCTACCACCCCAGGTCAGGGTAGTTCTGGGAACACTAGCAATTAAGAGATGGTTCCACACTCCTCAAAACCTCCTGATCAGAGGCCTTGTTGATAGATGTAGTTTATTGTCTTACCCAGAACGGGGGTTAGTTAGGCATGATTTTATTTTTACATAGTACTGTAGTACCAGCTTAGTGCACCATAAATGTGGAGGTGTTTCATTAGCATCTTTACTGGGGATGTTCTAAAAGCCCTGAGTACTAATCTAAGGACATGATGATAGGTTGCATTGAGAATTTTTAGGTACAACTTTCTGGCCAGCCCATATATGAAACTAGCATAATCAAGTTTTGAGCAAAGTAGTGATCTGTATAATTTGATCAATGTTAGTCAATCTGTTCCCCATTCAGTATGGGCCACTACACACAGAAGTTGTAGGTGTTTGCTACATTTTGTTTTCAGATATTTTAGAAGGGGAATGAACATTAATTTTTTTTTATCAAAGATAATGCCTAAAAACTACTAGAATTTTTGCTCTGTCTAATTTTAAACATGGGTCATTGTGCAATTTTCTTAATTTTTGTTTTGGAAAATATAAACCCATTTTCAGTGGCCCATTTGTGTATTTTATTGAGACATTGTTGGAGTTGTCTTTCAGTGGTATTCATATGTTGAGATATGTACATAATTAAAAAATCATCAACATATAGAGAGCTTCTCACTCCTGGGTTTAGGGTTTTAACTATGGTGTTTTTACACAAAATAGCATCACTGAAAGAATGCTTCCTTGTGGAACCCTTTCTTGATATTGCAGTTCTGATAATGTACTTACTATATGGACTTAAAACCTCCAGTCTTTCAGGAAGTTCCCTATGAATTGAATCAGCCTTCCTTTTAGATTCACGTCATGCAGATATTTTAAGATACCAAATTTCCATGTTGTATTGTACACCTTTTCTAAGTCAAAAAAGATTGCTGAGATGTTTTTTCTTAATGAAGGCTTACAAAGTTTTCGAGGTGTACTAAGTGATCCATGGTACTTTTTTTTTTCCCTAAAAGCACTGATTAGACCTTTAGTTTCCAGGTACCAAGTCAATCTGTTCTTGACTATTCTCTCCATAGCTTTACATAGGCAGCTCGTTAGTGCTATTGGCCTGTAGCTTTCAGTGTCTATGTCATTCTTTCCAGGTTTTGGAATAGGGATGATGAATGACTGTCTCCACATATCTGGGAAGTTACCACTTGTCCACATGTTGTTATACACATTTAGTAACAGTTGTAACAATTTTTGGGGCAACGTTTTATGAATTGATAGTAGATATCATCTGGTCCCACAGCTGTACTGTGGGATTTCTTTAAAAATTCATTTAGTTCCTTTAGTGAATGGTAGGTTATAGCTCTCAGCATTATTTGATTTAAAGTTTAATTTTTGTTTTTCTGCTTTTTATTTGAGCTTCAAAAGTTGTTGGCTACCATTCTTGGCAGATGAGTTTCTAGAGATTGTTTTAACTAATTGATCAGCGATATCTTTTTTGCTGGTTATTTTACAGTTATTTATGGAGAGATGTTTTATAGTGTTAGTCTGATGTATGATGTTTTATAGCATTAGTATGATGCTTACCAGCTATTTTCCTTATCATATCCCATACAGATTTTGTTTTTGTAGCAGAATTAAGTCAGCTGACATAATTTTTCCAACATTATTTTGGCTTTCTTTAATTATTTTCCGTGCTGTTGCTTGAAGTTACTTAAATTGTAACAAATTAGAGGTTGAAGGCTGTTTGCTGAAATCTCTCAAAGCTCTTCTTCTGAGCCTGATAGCTTCCTTACACTCATCATTAAACCAAGGTCTATTATGTTTTTTTGTATCGAACTTTTTGGAATGCATTCCTTTGCTATAGATATAAGGATTTCCATAAACTGTTCTAAGTCCTTAATTCCTTGATGTATTTACCTTCAGCTAGCTTATCAGAACATATTTTATAATACTAAAACTCTTTTTTTGCTTGCGTGCTTGCCACCATGCACACAAAGTCATATATAGTGAGTGGGGGAAAGAAAGATGCAAATTTATTATGATGTAGGGAGGGGGAGAGAAGGAAATGGTGTGTATAATGATTTAAGCTTCTTTTCACCTCTCTCTTGCTTTTCACTTCTCTCTTTCCACCTCTGAGATTTCATGCATGCTTATTTATACTTCAGCTTTCTTTAAAAAAAATATTTTAAATATTTAAAAAATATTTTCAAGTGAATATGATTTTCAAATATTTTTTGGCATATTAAAAATATATTTTTAAGTTAATGTGATTTAAAAATATTTTAAGTGAATAAGATTTAAAATACAAGTTGTTTATACAGTAAGTATTTTTTATTTCAAATTTCTTCAAACAGACAATTTTTTTGTTTAAATAAGTCTTTATTACTACGTCACTTGTACAAATCAAGATACCGCTGGTTCAATTTGGCGTTCTTGCTTTCTGAACACTTCACAATGTAGATCCGTCTTTCGTTCTGCCGTTTTCACTGCTTCAGCCCTCTTTTATCAGGCCAACACTGCGGTCGACCAACCAATCAGCGTTCTTCGCTTTTATTCTCAGTTACCCAGACAAATAGCCTCCTCCAGTTTGACCAATCAGCACACGACTTGCTATTGGTGGAAGCATGCCAAACTGTACAAAAACCCTCGTTACCGCACATACTACCGGAACTGCTGGATGGGAGAGTAATGCCATTTTCACGGAGCAAACTAGCCAATGTCACATGCCACCTGTTAAGGTAAGATCCTTATTTTCCTATACACCAGATGCAAGTCAACAAAAAGCTCACTTGCTTCTACAGGGCTGTTCACCACAGAAATCAACTTCAGTGTTTTATAACCTGAACTGCCAGTGACTCAACAGGTCATGGGTAGTTGAGTTGGTTTTTAAATTCACAGTTTACTCACCTAATTTTCAATGTAGAGGATTTTTATCATTATGTTCTGAATTTTGCAGAACAATTACCAAGTGACTACTACTGCATGTGTTTGCCAGACCCTTCCAAATCTATTCATATAGATTGATAGATCATATATGGATAACTATTGCAGAGTAGATGCCAGTAAATGGATTTATGTAGGTCAGAGTTTTATTGTTATAAATACATAAATCATTGTTGTTTATAATTGTTTCTAAAGTCCTTCCCTTTTGGTTTGTGTCTTTACAGCCCCATATGGTGCTGTGGCAGTTAAAGTCCCCTAGTATCATAAAGGATGCAGAAAGTGGTTTTATAATTTCATAAATTTCAACTTCATTTACTCATTCATTAGGTGGGATATATACTGAGCAAATGTTTATTGGCCTATGTAGGATCATTTTAATAGCAGTTATCTGTAAAGTAGTTGTCAAATTTATTTTACTTTGGGGTACCTCATTCCTAACTAGTAAATGTATGAAGCCCAGTGTCATGTGTATGGTTGTATTGCTGGTAATATTCACTTTGTCACCTTGCTTAAGGAATGTTTCCTGAAGGCAAACAACTGCTAGTGACAGTTCTATTACTAACAGCAGTTCATTTATATTTGCCTTTATTCCAGGGCAGTTCCATTGAATTATCTTATGCATAGCTGTTTAAGCATTTTTGGTCTTTAGCATATGTGGTTTTGATTTTTTTTCTAGGTTTTCATTTTGGAGGTTTTAGCCATTTGAGGGTACTAGCTTTCCACCTCTATTTTTTTCTAGTTTGTCAAATCAGTTTTGCATAGAAATTTGGTCATTGTGGATTTCTGACTTTTGTTTGGTTGATTCTGTACTTTTGGAAGATAAGCTTTTCAGTTTGTCTTTCCTAGATTTTGGTGGATGGATAGGCGATCGCTGTGACCTTTGTTTAGTAGGAGATTTGGTATTTTTGGTAGGAGTGGTTTGTGTTTGAGTTGTCATTTTGCCATTTGTTTTTTCTTTATTTATTATTTCAGTTTTTTCATTGTCCTTTTGTAGTTCAGCCTGCACCATTTCTTTGGAATACAGACTTTTTAGGTAAGTTTTTAGGTAAGTTTGAAATTTGAGCCAATCATTGTACAAATGTCTCAATGAGGACTCTGTATTTGTCAGGCTGACTGTCATTATTTGTAGTCTTATTTTCCCTTATTTTTGTGAAGGGCCAATCATGTAACCTACAATTACTAGCCTTGCATCTGAAAATGAGATGTTTCTTTTATATTTTACTTTGACAATTTTACTTTTTTCAGAAATTGCATGTTCTTGAGTATGCTGGATGGTTTTTCTGGAATTTAGCACATCTTATTTCATTGTGGCATTCTTCTACATAACAGTCTGAATCCTTTTGGTCACATTTTCCACATGTTGGGTGACTTCTGCAGCTATCCCTATGATGTCCAAATTTTTGGCACCTAAAGCATCTTAGTAGAGAAGGGACATATTGTTCCACTGGCTCAATATTATACCCTATTTTTATTTTTGGAGGGCTTTCAGGTGTGCCAAAAGTAAAGATATATTTTTAATTATAATTGTTTCCCCTTTTTCTTTTAATTGAGATCCTATAGTAATCACTGACCCCTTGGTTTTCCAAGGCAGATGTAATTTTTTCAGGTGTGGCCAGAGACAACACTTTACTTCTAATGACTCACTTAGAGGTATTCAGTCTTGCATGAGGGAAGGTTTTAATTTTGATATTATGAAAGGTCTTCATCTTTATTATATTTTTTGCATGTTTCCTGTGTTTCACCTTAATCAGCAAATTATTATCTCTCAACTTTCTGTTTTAGGATTAATCCTACTGGATAGTACCTTTTCAATCAAAAAAAGGGAAAGTTCTGTCAGCAGATTTTCTTTTGGGGAAATTCCAAATTATTTTCTTTTTCAGAATCAGAATTTGAAAGACATCTCTTGGGCTTTTTATTTTGATTATTCATAATTTTTGTGTATTAAGATTCACTGCCTGTGCTCCCCACCCACCTTGGAGCCCGACATTGGAACATATCAAGGGAAACCTAGTCGCCTAGACAGGTCAGGGCTACACAAACCAGTATACTTGTATTCGAGAGAGACTCTGAGCACCCATTAAGCTATTTGTTGTACTTCCCAAATGTGTACAAACTGGCATGTTCACAGTCATATCTAAGTCTAGATCTTTTTGAACCGACTGACTCCCAGCCATTGCCTTCTAATGCTTATAAATTGGATTTTTATCCCAATAAATATTTGGGGTATTGTATTTAGTTATAAAGTCCTCCATAAATTGATATAGTTACAGGAGTTAGAGCTTGTCATGACCAGATGATTGATTGGATCAAGTCTTTCCAACCAACCATTTAGTCCAAGTAAGGGCCAAAGTGGTGTGTTGGGAATCAGGAATAAGTAACCCTGACTCCTGAAGTGCTCAACTACGAGGATCCCGTCCCCAGATATTACAGGTTGCCTCATTGGGGCCTCTTACCCCCTCTGCAGAGGTGCAGTTGACATTTTGAAGCCTCAGCTAACAGGGTGAGTAGGTATACATGGAACTATACCTAAAAACACTGGAATGGATGAACAGAAAATTCAAGTAAGGTTTTAAATTGTACAAATTACAGTGTTGCTGGGATCTGCAAGGATAGTGAAAAAGGTGCTGGAGGTTTGAGAATGTTTACTCTTACTCAATTTTCAACAATGACCACAAGGCATCTAATGTAAACAGGCAAATGCATAAGATAATAATAACTATAATAATAGTAATAGTATGTATAAAATTACAAAAAATGACAAAAAAAAAAAACCCAAAACCAAAAAAACCCAAGAAATTTATCAAAAAATTAAATTGCAAAAATTGATGATTATGAACATATTCTTTTACTGGTATTTTAGTCAGAATTTTAATATATTTTTACAACTTTAACAATCAAGCCAGAAACTTTCAAATGCTTACATTGATGAGAACTAACAAGGAGACAAGTTCATGTCAAATTTCAAATACACATAATTAACTGACAAATCCTATCTAAAATTTTCTAAGAAAACACAAATTTTTTTTATACTGCTGATTAAAGCTACTACTCCAAGAAGATACTATTTTTATGCAAGACTACATTTAAAGACTATTTTTCTACATACATGTTTAGCTACACATTTCATTAATGATTTAACAAAGAAAATAAAATTAATGTCATTAAGTCCTGTGCATTGCTCATAACTTTATTATATATATATATATATTTATTATATATATCTTGTACATATTGTCATATTCTTCTTTTTCTATGTGGTGTGACCCTTCAGAACATTTGCAATCATGCTTTCCATCACTTACTATCTCTTGTAACTCTTACTAAGGTTTGTCTTTTCCCCATCCCTCCCACTTCTCACTGCCATCCATTTACATAGCCTTGTTAGGTAGTTTACTCACTGTTTTCCTCTATCACACTTACCTGAGACTTCTTTCTTCATTGTATCCTAGAAATTTCAAATGTTTCTTTCTGATATACTAAGTATGTGTCCATTTTGTTCCCATTTTATTTAAAACTTGCCTGTTACTCACATGTTCGGTCCATAGGATTTTCAGCATCTTTCTGTTGCCTCATCTCTTTTTTTTTTTTTTATTTATAAGATTGTCCAGCATTCACTACCATATATAAAGAGTGATATTACATAACAGTTCAGTACTCATTTTTTGTTTCTAGTGAAATTTTTCTGTTTCTTAATACTTTGCTTAGTTTTTGGAAGGTATCTTTTGCTATTCCAACGTGGCTTTGGATTGTTTGTTAAAATGCTTCTCAGATATTTAAATTTTCGTACTTGCTTGATTTTGGCATTTCTAATTTGTAGTTCAAATCTTGGCTGTTCCTCTTGCTGACAACCATGCATTATGTCTTCTTGTCATTGATGCTTAGAACTTTCTTCTCATTTACATTTACTACTTTCTGTAGATGTTTCTGTAGTTTCCTTTCTGTGTCTATTACCAACTTTGTGTCATCTGTATATCTTATGTTGTTAAGGTTGTGTTTGTCAATAATAAACTCTGGTAGGACTTATTTTTGTACTTGTTTGAAAAGTGGCTGAGGAATTAGTTACATTATAGATCATTTTCCAGTTTGTCTTCATAGTCCAATTTCTAGAGGTACTATTTTTCAAAATATTTAAGAATTCTGTATATTATACACAAATTTTTAGAGAAGTAGCTACTGGAATCTGTATATATTTATTAAGAGAAGACTCTCTCTCTCGATATATATATATATATATATATATATATATATATATATATATATATATATATATAAAAAAATCAGATTTTATTGCAACATAATCTAAAAAGAGTTGTATAAATGAAATCAAAAAGTCAATTATAAATAATAAACTATAAAACAAACAACAAAGAAGCTTACCTTTATTAGTGGGATTCTTAAGAATTGCTGTTGTAGATTATTATAATTTTGGAAAGTACTGTATGTGACATATGACTGGTTAGTGCTCAGATGTAGTAGAAAAATAAGTTCTTTTTTAAAAGTGATCTTTGGTTGTTCCCGATAACGAATTTCTCTTATCCAGAGCCCTAGAGTAGGAATGGTAAAAAAAAATAAAAATAAAATGAAAAATTTAAATCATTTTTTTTTTATATTTTCATTTACAATGTGAATCGAGCAAGCTAGCACCTAAAGAATACAGAAATGGGCACAACAGAGTAATGATAATTAGACACTTGGAATATTACAGTAGTGATAATTAGACTCTCTAAAATTTTTCATGTGTCCAATCTTTTCAATATGGTAAAACTAAAATATGGTTTTAATTTTAAAAAGGAGGAAAATACTTATAAAAAAAAGTTTGTTAAACAGTCACAATTCAATTTATAATACATGATCTTATCACTTTAAGAAAAAACATGTTTGTTTAATTACTTGATATCACAAAGTGGATGAATATGGTCTTCATAAAATTGATTTTATTTGTATTAACTTTTAGAAGAAATGTTTTCTACAATTTCTTTATGTACTTCTACTATGTGGAAGCAAAAAATAGCTATTTACTAAATTTAGCTTAGTTTTGGCATAACATCACACACAAAGACAGCCTATAAGGATCAATCTCACAACTTAATAATAATTTGCTAAGATTAGGAACTAGTTTGAAGCTTTGAAAGCCAAGAGAAAATACTTGAGAAAATTAATAGTAATTAAAATTTCTATTCTTCTATATACAATATCATTTCAGGATGGCAGCAATCATGGCTCTCCACAATTTCCTGTCCATTGTAGCTCTGTCTTTCTTAATCCCTTTTCTGACAACCATTTACACAAGCTTCTTAGGTATGTTATTCACTGCATTCTTCTGTCTATCCTGCCTTCAATATGTGCTGTGAGTGTCAAATTCTCCAAGCCCTCATTATGCACTCTAGAAATTTCAATCATCTCTTTCTGATTCTAAGTATAAGTGTCCTTTTGTTCCAAAAACTTCCTTGTTACTCACATGTTCAGTCCATGGGATTCTCAGCATCCTTCTGTAGAACCACATTTTGGTTGCCTCAAGTCTTCATCTGTGAGGTGATTGTCCAGCATTCACTACCATATAGAAGGACTGATATTACATAACAGTTCAACTCTCTTTTTTCATTTCTAGTGAAATTTTCCTGTTTCTTAATACTTTGCTTAGCTTTTGGAAGGCATCTTTCACTATTCCAATGCACCTGTGGATTTTGGTGTCACGTTTTCCATCCTTTATTAGAACAATTCCTAAATATTTAATTATTTTTGTACTTGCTGGATTTTGCTATTTCCAATTTGTAATTATAGTCTTCATAAAATTGATTTTATTTGTATTAACTTTTAGAAGAAATGTTTTCTACAATTTCTTCACGTACTGCTACTTTATTCTTTTGTTGGGCTGTTTCTTTTGCTGACAACTATATAATTTGTCTTCTTACAATTGATTTTTAGTACTTTCTTTTGGCTTTCCTTTACTTAGTAAAGACTACCTTCTATTGTTCCTGTAGTCTCCTTTTTGTGTCTGTTATCTACATATCTTATGCTGTTAAGATTGTGCTACAAACAATGAATTCTGATAGGACTTCTAATTCACTCAGGATCATATTGATGTAAAGGTTGAATAAGTTCAGTGAGAAGAAACATACTTTTCTTACACCCCTTTCTATTTATGTGTATTTACTGAATTCATTTTTATTGGTATATATGATAGTTTACTCTCAGTTTAAATCCTAAACAATTATCTTTCCCAAATATGTCAATGTTACCTAGCAGTTTGAACAGTTCTTTGTTTTGTAGTTTATCAAATCCTTTTGCATGATCTATAAAAACACAGGTATACATCCTTTCCAGTATATTCTGACTTGACCATAACTTTAATATGGCAGTAGTAAGTGAAATAGATTTTCATGTGTGCATTTGTTCTGAGTTTACTTTCTGTAAAGATATTTGAAGGAATTATATCAGTAGAGATGGTGATCTATCAGCTATACACTGAAAACTCAAATCACAAAGCTATGCAATTTAAAATTTGAGTCCCAAAATATCTTATGTCTCAACAAATTTTGCAGTATTATTGTACTGAGCTTACTTAAATTTCTCCAGATTATATTAATATGAAATTTCTATTAAAAAAAATGAAGAGAGTTACAAAAAAATGTGTAATTTTTTGTTTTTGTCTGATGACAATAGAAATGTAGTAGTCAACATCATGATATTCTATGGAATTATTAGTTTCAAACAGCAGCCCATTTGCTTGTATACTGAAAAAAATGAAATTTCTTTCTTGAGAAACTAGTAGATAGATACCTCCACTTTTTGTTAACAAACAGCATAGCATGATGAAAAAAGGCCCCAAACTTAATAAAATCAAAATTTTATCATCAAAATTAAGAGGGGGCCATTTTTAATTATTTTAAAAACGTTTTTACTCTAACATATTCAAAATTTGGGTTTAAAATTTTGTTTTTTTATGTGTCAACGGTGTAACAGAGGTGGTAATGGACATTTTCACACCTGTTTTCTGGTAAAATAACATTAATTTGTAAATTCTTGCAAAAATCAAATAACTGTTGAATTTTAATTAAACTTTCAGGATTTATTCACAAATGAATGAATTTATTTTTGAAATTATTGGTAAAAAATTTTTTTTATACATCTATATTAGTTCTTTCTCATTTTATTTTTAGTTGTGTTAGGTACCACAACTAATTCTCAATACCCAAGTTTTAAAAATGAATTTTAAAAAAAATGAAAAAGCTTTTATTTTAGCTTTAATTAAAGGGTAAAGAATTAAAAAATGATTTTTTTTTTACTATTTCCAGTAAGTACCCGGGTGTATTTCAAACAGAAATTATATATTGATTAGAATGTACTTTGTTGTCAGTAAAAAAATCTTGCCATTTTTTTGTAACAAAAGTTAATTCTCATTTTTAAAAATTTTGCAAAATAAAATATTTTTCTGAAACATTATTTGAGAAAAACTATAACAAAGAAATTTTAATTAGAATTGGTGTGCAGAGCTTAAACTGTAAATTTACCAAAATTTTATGCTATAAGTAATATTTGTTTCAGAACAGATTAATTTAACTTTAAATTAGCTAATTTTCTGCAAATAACACTTCAGAAATATACATTTTATTTTGCAGGATTTTTAAAACCAAGAATTAAATTTTGTTTACAAATTTGTCAAAATGGCCGTTTTAATAGGTTTTTGTTTAAAGAAAAATCAACTAAAATTCATTCTAATTTCCATTTGAAATACACCACAGTACTTTGCTTTCTTGAATTAGAAATTTTAACCCTTTAGCTTTCAATTGAAGCTAAAAAGAAAGCTTCAAGAAAGATATTTTCATTTATGAAAATTTTACTGAAAATACATTTAAACCTTCGGTATACTGAATTATTGGAGGTACCTAAGCAAAACTCATCAATGACTCAATTTATAAATTATAACTTCAAGTTATTATTTAAACTAGACATGCCAAACTCAGGGCATATGGAGGGCCACATCGGCTATATCTGCAGCCTCAAGAGCCACACCTGCTTAGTCTTACATTAATCACAGCTAGTGGTAACTAAACTTTAAATACAAAATACTTACAATACAAGGTAGTACAATTTAATCATTTTTATGTTGTCCTGATGAATGATATCACTTTAGACAAAACTATTCTTGATATATCAGGATGGAATGTCTGTGTAGATCCCACTTTGATCAAAGATGACAAATGTTCATCAGTTTATGTGGTTCTGTGAGACGTTTTTGTAGCCTTCATAAATGAAAATAACTGCTCACAAACATATGTGGAACCAAACATCACCATAATCTTTGAGGCAAACTTTCTGAAGTTCTTAAATGTCTGCGGAAGGTATGAAAAAAATTCAGGTACTCCTACTTCTAGGTACTTTCCCTTGAGTGTTGAGTTAGTAGTTCCATCTGTAGACTTTTCTCTGTCTGAGTAACACCAAAAGTGAATGGTGTTGAGAATAATGCAAACTGATCTTCACAAGATGAAAAATCACAAAATCTTTGGTGAAATTCCTTTGACAGCAATTCCAGGTAATTGTCATACTCAGCAAAGATAAATACAGACTCAGTATTGGTAATTTTTTTCAACTCTTTGCACACAGGAAATGAATCAAGTTTCGATGGGACTTCAATAAAGCTAATTTTGCAATGAAACACTTGATATCATCATATAACTGAGTGATGAACTTATTTTTACCTTGTAATTTCAAATTAAGGTCACTGAATTGGGCAGTAATATCCACTGGAAAAGCCAGATCTTGGAGCCAGCTTCCATCTTTCAATTCATTTGTGCTTTGACCCTTCATCTCCAAAAACATAACAATTTCATGTCTCAATAAAAAAATCTTTTCAGTAGCTTGTGACATGAAAGCCACCGAACTTCTGTGTAGAATAGGACATTTTTGTACTGATTATTCATGTCTTCCAATAAATGGCTAAACTGACGGTGATGTGGAGCATGACTTCTGATATAGTTCACTGGTTTTGTGACAAAACTCAACACATGATCTAATTTTAAAATCTTGGAACATAAGTTCTGTTAATGAATTATACAGTGAAAATGTTTGAATGTTGAATATGGATATATGTTTTCTATTTTTTTACCTAACTTGGCAGCAACATCATTATGTCTCCTAACCATACTGGCAGCACCATCGGTAGAAAAAACACACAAGTTTACTCAAATCAAGGCCATACTCATGGAGAAGCTATTCAACTTTCTCAAAAAAGTCCTGGCTCATCCAGAGCAATAAAAAAATGTTCAAAATTGATGGTAAGGTCTTCAATTGTCAATTCAAATCACCTGCCATTTCACCAATCCATTCAGCAACAGTGCTCCTGCTTAATGAAATGCCTTGAAATAAGTGTGACTTCTCTGGACATACAATTTCAGCTGTTTTTACAAGACATTGCAGAATTCAAAGCTTGCAGTAACAGAACTAATGTTTCCATTCTGAATTTTTGTAATGTAAAGCAACTCTTTTGCTGTGGTACAAAAAGTACCGTAATTCCCACTTTTCTTGAAACATACGTCCTTCAAATAATTTTCTCTTTTTACGAGATGGAGTAGAATTCGACGTTTTTAAGGCAAAATATTACAAAATTACGAACGTTTTCACTTTACGTATGTTCTTATTTAATTGTCAAGGTTGATCACATGATTAACCGGAAGTTAAAAATAGTCGCTGAAATTTGAAAACAAAAAACCATTGAGATAGAATAAACAATCTAATCATACCAATGGAAAAAAAATAAAATCTGTTTTTAATAATTTGCATTACCAAAATAGACAAAATTCTCAATGTACCACGGCTATAGAAACTTTTGTGAGGCCCGCCAAGATGCATGTCAAGGTCCGCCAGTTTGACACACCTGATTTTTTAAGCTAAACAACTTACTTGCAAGTGCCATGACATGTCGCGAAGAAATTTAGATTTATGACCGAACGTTAATTAAAAATTACAATTTAAATTCTATTTTAATTCAAATTCATAACCAAACGTGAATGTTACAGAATCCTGAATTTTTATTTTTGCGAATTATTTTACTTTCTCTTAATTTACTACTTGAGGAACGTTTCCATGGTACTTTTCCTTTTGTTTGCCCAAGCAACAACTGATTCTGAATAGTAGTTGACAGTTTAATTAATAATTTTAGGTTAATTATTTTTTCTGTAATAAGATCAGAGGTTGACAAAAAATTAAAGTAAACCTTCACTTTTAGTTTTACATTTTTAAAGCTAAATTTTCCAATCGTACATCACCGCGGTTACTGTGATAAAAAAAATAGTAAAAGTTCAAATTGGAATATTTTTCAGCCAATTAAAATTTTGATTAACAAATTATTCTTAGTAAAATTTAGCCAGTTAATAATAATTCTGATAAATAGCCGAAAATTAAATCAGTCGTTGGTTGTTTTTTTTCTCCTTCGATGTTTTTTTTTTTCGCTACCTACAATCTTTTCTAACCTCCGATTTACTCAGCTCAACTTCTCGTATCTTTCGGTTCGTCTGGTTTCAATAAATTTCTACTACAAAATGGTAGATTTTCTCAAACTAATCGTAGAAAGCTAACTTCTACTTTTATATTTTCCTAATAGATTTACGTACGTAATAGATTTAACTGCCTATACACTTTTTTTTTATATCTCATTTAACAAGATTAAACAAATATCATATCACTTAAGAGTTAAGACTTACCGTCACTTCTGTACACAATTATTAAAGGTAATATAAATGTCAGTAAAATTGTTAACACTTGTATTACTGTGGCTTTGGAAAAAACATGTGTTTTATACTGGTGTAACACAGGATGAGAAAACACGTTATAGATCGCCATTTTCAAACATAACTATTCAGCAGTAAATACGTTACCCCGGTAACAACAACTAGCTACAGGATTTTTTAACTTAAAAATGTTTATTTATTTATTTATTTATTTATTGCGAGCTACGCTCTAACATGAAAATTCGAACAAAAAGTTTAATCAGAATTTTCTTTTAAAGTCTCGAATAAAATGCAATTAAGTAAAAATTTCCACTTGTTTTGTTCCAACATTTTTATCAAAAAATTATGACAAAAAATACGTACGTAAGCAAAGATTTAAAAAATAATGATTTTATTTTTTATTTACTCAGCGTAGTTTCTTTTCTATGTAATTTAAAAATTAGAACCATTGAATTAAAATATTGCAGAAAATCAGTATGAGGGCGGTAGAAAAGTTCTTGGATGACAAAGAAAGAAAATGAATTTCTAAATCTAAAATAAAAAATGTTTGATTATTTGGTCAGATTTTGGGAAGAACTTTTTAGCATTCTTTTTTTTTTTCTATGAAAGTTTTGAAGAAAAAGATAAATTTGATTTTGAAAACCAACACATACGGATGTAACAAATTTGCGTTTCCTTTAATTTTTATTTTTTATGAAAACAATTTTTTCTTAAACTTTGATTTAGTTAATGTACAATACCCACAGACAAGTTGCATGATTTTATTTTTTTTAAATTTTATTCTATGAAACAAAAAAACGGAACCTTACTGATTTTTTTCAACTTAACGTATTTTCTTTATTTTCGTGTGTGATATCTGCATAATAATGAATACCATGATATTGTAGAATTCTAATTCTACAACATTACAAATAGCTAAAAAAAATAACTTGTTCAATTTTTGCGCAAAAAGTAAATCACACTAAATTCTGTCATTTATCAACGTCCTGATTGGACTAGATATTTAAAATTGTCTTTTGTGTATCTTCACGTACATAGTTCTCAATAAACATATCAGGCTCCAGACTGAGTTTTTGCAAAAACGCTTTCTGATTGGTTAACAAATATTAAAAAAAATACATTTCACTACGTCTGAATCGAATCAACTAGGTATCTCTACTTTTTCTCGGAAAACAGCAATAGCGTAATGAAAAAAGGCCACAAACTTAATAAAAATAAAGTTTTATCGTAAAAAATGTCCATGTTATAAACATGAAAAGATGAAAGACCAAAGTATTTATTATTATTATTATTTTTTGAAATTTTTTAATCCTTTCTAACACGTCGAAATTTTGGTTAAAATCTTCTTTTGTTTGCTTACTAGGTTACATCATCGCGGTGGCTACACAATATAACATTGACGGTTTTGCGCTTTTTTCCGTTGAAAATGCATTGATTTGGAAATTCTTGTAAAAATAAAATAATTGTCCGATTTTAATGAAATTTTCAGGACTTATTCACAAATGAAATTGTTTTTGAAATGTTTTTTTTTAGAAAATTTTGGTAAAAAATATATTTTTTTAAAATATGTTACCCCCCCTTCAATACACACACTTAATTTCATGAAATTTCACACAAAACCTTTCTACTATTTCCTGAAATTTTTTTTGTTAAAAGGAGTCCTTGGAGATTATCAACCTAGTTTCTGACCCAAATTAAAACACAAATTACGCCAAGCAATTTGGAACCGAACACGAGATACAATTTTTCAATAAATATGAAATGTTGTTCATTCTCCTCTTTTTTGAGGGTTGGACATGTCCTACTAACATCAGTTATATTTATTTTAGTTTGTTTTGATATTTAGTTTGTTTTGGGGTTCATCTCCTCCTCTCTCAATGTAAATAATCCATAAAAATTATGTATAAAATTTTATCATCATCCAATTTTTATATTACAGAGTGCATTGTGTAGGTCCTCCTGAGAGGAAGCGGTGTTATAGTATGGAAGGTTGATTGGTGATGGATGAGTTTTTATGGTGAATGTGCGAATTGTAATGAGTAAATGGGTTGTAAATCGGATTAGCTAGGTATAGTTAGTGAAGACCAGCCTTAACCCATTTCCTCTTTTTGGCCTTGTGCCATAATTGTATATTTTATACAACAAATATTGAGCATTGTGACTTCCTACACCAACCTACATCACTTCTTCTGAAGTTTTCAACGTTACTAGTGAACATACCACAAACTTCAAGAAATTTCCACTCACTCATCAATTCATTCACCCAGCAACTTAAACTTATTCCTGCAAGTGAATTAACATTACAACATCTTCCAAACTTCAACAGTAAATTTAGTTTGAGTGGAGTTAGATAACTCCATTCAAACTAAATTTACACACATCTAATGTAAATTTGTTGTTTTAGACAAACAGTTTAATTTTAATAAAAAAAGTTACTACTATATTCCACTTAATCACAAACTCTACAAAACTTAACTTCTTAGTTAATGAAAATTGTTTTAACCAAAATTTTGTTTTTTCTCAATTTTGTTTTATGCTTTCCTGTTTATCTTGTTGAAGAATAATATAAATGTCTGGAGGATATATGTTTCTTCCACATGCAGCCAAATTAAACATCATATATAATAATATCCCCTACAATATTGTCATGAACATTTCAAAGTATATAAAAGAAGAAAATTATTTTCTAGAAGAACATGACCCAGTTTGAAAAAAATTAATTTTTATTCAAAAAAGAAAAAAAATGTTCAAATTAACTGCACAGTAATTGTTTGATTTTACAAATCTGGGAAATTGGTAGAAATGGTTGCAGAGATTTCAACTCTTTTGAGAAGCATCAAAACTCTGGGAAGATGATAACAAAACTCAAGTAAGTACATTAATATATATTGCATGAGAAGTGAAGCTGAAAATATATTCTGGACTGGACATGCAAATGTGTATGACTCAGTTTTGGAAAAATTCAATACCTACTTCATGTCTAAAAGAAATATAATTCATGAAAGGGTAAATTTTATCTTAGAGTTCAATTACCAGGAAAACCAGTGGACACTTTTATTTGTGCATTGCACAAATTAGCATAAGTAGAGTTTCCAAAGAAAAATGCCCAAATCAGAGACCATCTTGTGATAGGATTACAGAATAAGAATCTATCCAAAAGATTACAGTTCATTCCTGATTTGAAACTTGAGAAAGTTATGGAGATGGCCAGGAGCAGCAAGCAAATAAAATCTCAAATGGAAGAAATACACAAGAACAATGTGGATGAACTAAAGACCCAGAGAAACCCACAAGAAAAAAGAAAACGTGGAAACAGCAACAAAAACTGGAGATGTAAATAAAAACATGATTTTAAAACCTTTCCAGTGAAAGGGAAATACTGCAAGAAATATGGGTTTATGAATCATTTCTCTGCAGGCTGTAGAACTAAAACTAATACAGACAGTAAATGAAGAAAAGAAATATTTCCTAGGAGAGCTAAGAGAAACAGGTTTAAATGGCCCGTGATATAAAAATTTATTATGGTTTCAGAACAGAATTGTCTTTCCTAAAAAACAATGTCCAGAGATATTAAGGACACTTCATAATGGTCACTTGAAACTAAACAAATTCTGAGAGAGAGCCAAAGAATTGGTGTGGTGGCCTAAAATATCTCAGGAATTGGAGGAGTTTCTAAAAAAAATGCTTGTTTTGTAACATACACTGTCTAACAAATAAAAACGAAAAAAAATAAGTAACATTGCTTCCTCAAGGTTCATGACAAAGAAGTGGTATGGACAGTTTCACTCATCAAGGACATCAATATAGTGGGAGGAAACAAATATTCGTACACATACAAATTTTTAATTTATTGTATTTCCAACTAATGAATAAACATACTTTTCATATAATTCACTCTACACAGATGCATAATAACTAAATAAGCATAGAAAACAGAAAAAAGTTTGATTTAAATCCCATTTATCCATTTTAATGGGTGAAAAAGTATTCGTACAATACAAATAAGAATACATAATCGTCATTTAATACTTCGTAGAATAGCCATTATTCATTTCTACAGCAAACAACCTCTTGTAGTTCTCAAGTAATGATTTGCAAATTTTAGTTGGTATTTTGTTCTATTCTTTGAATATAGTCTTCAGATCTGGGTTGTTTGTTGGAGCTTATGACTGGATTTGAATTTTCAAATAACGTCACAGATTCTCAGTTGGGTTTAAATCTGGGGACTGACTTGGCCATTTCAGGATATTTACATTATTTTCAGCAAGCCATTTCTTCATAGATTTTGCAGTGTGCTTAAGTTTATTATCTTGTTGGAAGATCTAGTCAGGAAGAAGTTCAAGATTTTCAACCAAAATCATTAAATTTGCTTCCAAAATATTTTGATATGCTGCAGCATGCATTCTATCATCTATTACTGATATGTTGCCAGTACCTTTTACAGAAAAACATACCCAAACCATGATGCTGTCACCACCAAATTTCACTGTTGGAGTTGTGTTCTTTTGTTTAAAGGCATCACCATCTTTCCTCCATACATGTTTTCTAGAATTACGTTCAAACAACTGAATTTTTGTTTCATCTGTCCATAATACTCTTTCCCAATATGATTTTTTCTTATCCTTATGTTCACAAAAAATTTCAATCTGCTTTTCAATAGCAGTGGTGTTTTCCAAGGGGAGTGTGACTTTAGATTGTGCCTATCAATTTCATTGCTTATTGTCCATTTAGTGAGACAGATTCCTGATGAAAGTCAATCATCCTGCACATACTATCAGTGAAAATTCACTGACCTTATCTATTCTTGTTGCTGGAGATTATTCTTTTGAAGTAGTTGACACGTTTCTTTTAGTACACATTGAGGGAAAGGAGAAAGCTATGTACTCATGTCTTCTCTTGTGTTTGAACAGCTTGGAGACAGTCGTGTTTCTGCTCTGAAAATCAAAATTTGTGCATTTTTATAATAAATTTTTCACAAAAGTAGACTTGAGAAAAATCGGGTTTTAGTTTTCTCTGACTGGTCAAGACATTATTGTCATGCCATCAGTTTAAAGTTTTTAAATATTGCACTTCATGTATTGGTCTTTATTGCATTTTGCATATTCACATTGG